GGGCAGAGCCCCGGCGTCTCCCGGCGCCGCGGGCTGCCGAGCCCGGCACAGCGACGGCGAAGGAGCCCTGGGAGGAGCAGGAGACTCAGGGAGGCGTGTGGTCCTTGCATACTTTGGCTGTGAGCAGGAGAGGCAAAGATGCATAGGTGCCTGAGACATCATGTGCGCTGAACATCATGAGACAGTTGCTAATTAGCAAACTCATGTCATTTCCTAATGTAAAATTACATTATTCATATTTTTGGGAATTTAACCTGATAATTCAGTGAATTTAATTATTGCAGAGCTAATTGTTAATTCCCAGTTACTAATCTAGATCCAGTGTATGTAACACCATATTATAGTCAAGTGACTGCAAGTCCTGGAGATATAATATCCCACAGCAAGTGCACAGGGTATACACCCTGATTTGCTAATATTTGTATTACCCAGATATTAAAATGTGTTTTCACGGGATGTTTAGTGATTGAATCTGCAAACAACTCAAGAGAAGCAGGAAAGTTGACTGACAGAGAATAAACACATTTATCTGGAAATAGCCATTAATCTGTTTACACAGAATTAATACACAGACATTCAGCTGGGGAAGGACAAACTATTTGAAGTATGCTTCTCATTGTAAGTGTTGATGGGAGGTATATGTGAAAGGCATTTTACATTATTTGTAAAATACAATCAAAGTGAACACATTCCATGGAATTCAAGCCAAAAGACGTGGTAAAATAACCACCTCCTACGTAAGCCCTTAAGTAGCGCGAGTCAGACAAGGGGGGCTTTGCAAAGGCACGGCCGCGACAGCCAGCTCGGCACGGCCGGGAGGCTCACACGGCCCCAGACAATCTAGGAACGCATCGCGTGGTTCACCACAAACAGGAGAATTTTATACTACGAGGAGAAATTACTACAAAGGAAGTCTAAAAGGATACTGCTTTGGCCCTTTTTTTCAATGCTTCCTGCATTCACTGCCCTGACATTAGAGCTGAACAGAGAAGAACGACTGGTTTGCTGCAACAACCGTCTTCCACCGTACAAAAAGTGTAATTGCATCCTATCCTGCTCAAGTCCATTAATACGTT